ACGCTTCGTCATCCGGTCCTGGAACTTGGCTAGGACTGTAACCACTTCCTTCTCCTTCATTTGGTTCTTGCTCTCTTCTTGGCACTGCTCTCGGTACATCACCAAGTGCTCTCTCAATTCCGCTGTCCGGCGGTAACCTTTTCGTTGGCCTGCATCCTACTAGTGCATCTTGAACATAAATCCAAGGTGTTCCCGTTGCTTCTGCAAGTACCTCAATGTCGAATGTTGGTGTGCACTGATGCATTGTTCTACACTTCACAATATCTCGAAAGGTATCTTCCCTTTCCTCACAACAAACCTGTTCATTAGGAATGCTGCATGTCTTGCAGCCCATGGGTATAACGTACTTTCCGCAGTGATTTTCACCTTCGCTTCAGATGCAACTCCAGACACCAATGTCTTTGACAAGTTCCGAACCGTTTGAACCCATCGTCCTTGATGCTTATCTCGTGCCACATCTTGTATCTCGATTTCCGGGTTCTTCAGTTTCCGTATCGCTTGAACCTTTCTTCTCAGTGACACCATTGCTGGTTCCGTGTCTGTTCTCAGTATCACCTTTGAACTTAGCAACATCAACACTCGGCAAACTTCCTCAACCAAGTATCCAACCGGTATCACATGTACAAACTTTGTCGCTTGATCAACCATCACCAAACCGGTTGCCAATGCATCTCTCCCATCTCTTGCGTTTTCTCCATCTCTTGTTCCGGTGAACTTGAAACCCATAGAAATCAATGATGCTTCATTTGTCTTCTCAGACACTTCGAAGTTATCTTGTCTCGATCTTGTAGCTTGGCAACTCGTACACCAATCTGCTTCTGGCAAGTGTGTAAGTTCATGTGTTCTTGGCTCTTCCTCTGTTGATTCCTTCGGTCGCTTCTCTCCTTTTGGTTCTCTCGAAAACTCTACTTCGAGCCCTTTGGAAATTTCAACCAACATTTTCATTTTGTTTGCTGCGATACACTCTTTGAGACGTTTCCAAACCTGAGCTTTGTTTCCTGTCTTTCCGATGCTCAAGAACTCGCATGCGCTGCGTAGCTTCTTCAATGTGCTATGCGGTGTACGTTCAACACCGGCAACAACCATTGCTTCATCTTCTTTCTCTCTCAAGCTTGGCGAGTTCTCTTCTGCTTCCTTTCTCTCGCTCTCGTCTATCTCTGGAGGTTCAGTTGGAAACAAATCTTCCATTGCTCTCCTGTTTTCCTCTTCCATCTCTTCCAATGTCTTCTTCGTTGCCCTAGCTGGACTCTTGTCTTCAACCTCCATTTCCACATCCTTCTGTGCTTCTTCTCTTAGCTTTTCTTAATCTCTTCTTTGCTTCTTTGGCCTTTCATAATCTCCATACTCTTCAAGTCCTACAGACTTCCTCTCAAGGATCGTGATGACCACTGAATCTTCTTTGGCCAAACCAACTGGTGTCTCTTCACTTCCTTTCCACACTTCTGCGCACTCAAAGAATTCCAATTCTTCCCATATGATTTCTTATCCTTGGTATCTTGTCACCAATGTCGTCCTATACTTGAACGTCGTCACCGAATCTCCTGACGGATCGTATGTCACTCTGCGATCCCAATCAAATCGCACTGGCTTCCCATCTGAAAACCATCCTTCATGATACTTCACCTTTCCAAATCATGTTGCATCTCCTTGATCAACGTGAGCTTTCTCACCTTTGGTGCTTCTTCAACTGCTTCTTTCGGGCTCTGTAAAGCTTCAGTTCGGTCACCGTTGAGTTCCTTACAAACCTCACCGGCACTCTCGCCGATCCTTTCTGCAGGTATGCGTTCCATTCGTCTACGGGGTCAGGTCCCCAAAGCTTGCATACTGCAAACATTGGCTGTGTGACATCACCAAACACGGCTGAGTCTCTCACTTTGATCACTCTTCCATCGGTCCTCTGAAATTCGAACGTGATATTCACTCTCATCTCTGTTGTCTTGATCCGGTTTCCTTGAGCATCTTGAATTACCATCCTTAGCGCTGGAAACTCTATCGTACCTAAGTCTTCACTATAGTACGCCAGAGGTAGCACGTGGCAATCTGCTCCACTGTCGAGCACGACTTCCACCAGCTCTGAGTGCATGGCACAAACTGCTCTAACTTTGGGACCTGGACTTCGAATCTCAACCGGCTTCTCTATCCAATCTTGCTTGAGAATAATGTCTTCTTCTGAATCTGAAAAACCTGGACTTGGAATCTCAAACGGCTTCATCATCCAATCTTGTTTGACTTCACTCCATCGCACAATTTCTTCACCAGGTTTTGCCTTCTCAGCATTGATTTTGTCGACTTTGGTATCTTCATACCACTTGTACAATTCATCTTCTTTGTACTCTTCACCTTCATCTTCTTCGTCGACAATGTTGGCAAACACTACCACTGTCTTTACTTCTTCTTCACATTCCTTCACCATATGCACTGACCAATCTTGGGCAACTTCTTGGAACATACCTACCAAATCTATGTAATCTTCATCTTCGCCAACTTCTTCAATGATAGGCATGTGTTTTGTCACTAATCTTCGAACTTGTTCATCTCGTCTTGCTGCTGGTGCATGTCTTGCTTATGATGACGCACTCTGCTGAGGTTCGCTGTTCCAGTCTTTTTCTTCAGTCTCCTGTTTCTCACTTTACCTTTTGCTCCTTTGCCGTTTCCTTTACTGTTAGGTGGAGACCAACACTCCGATGCAATGTGTCCTGTCTTTCCACAGTTGTAACACACGACACCCTTTCCGCCTTTACCAGTTCCATCTCCGTAGTCTTTCCTTCTACCTGCCTCATGTTTTTTCAGCCTTTTCCTTTTCCGTGGTTTCCACCTTTTCCTCTTCCATAACCTTTTCCTTTTCCTTTTCTGCCGCCTTTTCCTCTTCCGAATCCTCGTTCTCTTCCATAGCGGCCTTTGCCTCTATCTCCTTTACCTTTTCCGCCTTTTCCTTTATCACCTTTTCCTTTGTCGCCTTTTCCTTTCCATACTCTACCCATTTCCATTGGGATTGGTCCTTGATATTCTTTGTTGCTTCCGTGCGAAGTCGGGGGTTGCACGCCCAATGATCCCGATATGTTCTCTGCTGACCATGTTTGATTGCTTCTTTCATACTGTAGCAGCTTTGTTCTTAACTCTGTGTAGGAAGTCTTCTCGGAAATATCAGCCATGATGTGCTGCTTGAGGTTCTGTGCTATTCCCTTTAGGAGTGTACCGATCTTCAAGTTCTCATCGTACTTCGCTGAGCTTATCTTCTCATACTCTGACACACGCTTCTCAAATGTCAAGACGTCATCCATCAGCGATGCTCCTTTACTCATAGCCCGGAATCCAACCAATGCTTGGGCCATTGCTAGACTTCTTGATCTTGAACTTGGTTCTAGTTCTGCCGTAAGCTTTTTCCACACTTCGAACCCATTCATATGCACTTTGAGTGGACGGTTCTTCGAATAACTACTTAGCACCGAGTACAACTTCAATGATCTTTACTTTCTTCCTTCTTGGTTCCTAAAGAACGCGCCTCCTGGTAGGATCTCTGTTTCTTCTTCAGCCTTTTGCAGATATTCAAGGAATTCTTGATCCATGAACGCTAAGAAATTCTTGCCATTGCGACACTTCTTCCTCAAGTGTGGCCGGATTGAACGCTTCCGGAGGCTTTAATGTCTTTCCACCTGTCTCAAAGGTGGTCATTGCTGGCCTTGCTGTCACTTCGGCTGCTGGTTGTGCTGTATTTCCTTGTGCTGGGTTCTCCGTTAACCTCATCATTGCTGCGGTCAGCTGTCTTTGCTGCTCGAAGGTCTGCTGAGCAACTCTTGCCATAGCTTCTGTGGCTTGACCTAAGTTCGTCATCAGTTGATCGAACCTTTGCTGCTGCGCTCGCTGCTGCGCTTGTTGCTGTCACTGCTGCGGCTGCTGTTGTGGCTTGTTGCGGTGTCACTAATCTTCGAACCTGTTCATTTCCTCTTGCTGCTGGTGCATTTCTTGCTGCTGGTGCATTTCTTGCTTGTGATGATGCACTCTGTCACTCTGCTGAGGTTCGCTGTTCCAGTCTTCTTCCGGTCAGGTCGGCCATCTGTTCCTGTGAAAAGCGGAGGATTCCTCACAAAGCCCAAGGCAACCAATCGTAGATCAAAGCAAAGCAAGCGGTGCAAAGCAAGGACGATCGGAGATTGAAACCGTAAGTTTGACGTTCAGCGGAAAGACAACACTAGAACCCCCAGGCGCTAGCGGATGCGGTACTTGAGCAGTCAAGCTGCGTAAGTGAGACAAAGTTGGCATGAATCCTAACCAGGACGCAGAAGCACATGTACACATGTCCGTGACAAATCACACCCCCCTCGACGCGAGCTCACGCGTGAGAAAAGCGGAGTTAAGGAAAGCCACGTACGCTGATTGTGCACCGAGCCACACCTCTTCCGGTCAGCTAAGCTTAAAGCAAATAAGAGCCATTAGATGTGGGTCGGTCTCTGCATCTGGATCGTACCTATGTTTCACTTCTGTACATACGCAGCCTTTTGTGATCGTCAGGCGCATAGCGAACTGCCATTGTGATCGTAAGCAGTCGGATGTTCCATCGGATCTATGCGGGGTTTACACATTAGACTCAACGCGCTCAGAGTATATATTCGGCAGCATCAAGTGTCCGTGAAAAGAGATGGACACACGAGGAAAATACCATGGCCAGCCATTGTACCCCTGTGGGTCTTCTCAGCGCGGCGCAGGCAAGGAATGCTGAGGAAGTAGCGGAAATTGTGTCATAGCCGGATTTCACCATCAGAATCCGCCTGGCCTTAGACTTAGACCTTTGTAGTCGTAGGGCCAGAAAGACTCAACCGGATCCACCAAGCAGTGACGCAATGCATCGCCACCTTTGTCGGACGGTCGTTATCTACGAACTGTGGGACTACGGGTACGGTCCTTGTTTCCTCGTCCAGGACCGCCCCTTCCTCTACCACTCCTATCGCCCTTTCCTCGGCCTTTCTCCTGCTTTCCTTTGCCCTTCTCAGCCTTTCCCCTGCCTTTGCCCTTCGTCGGTTGCCTCACTTCATCAGGCTCAGCGACGTCGGAGCCAGATCGGGATTTGCCCTTGGCCGTTGTTTCTTTGGCCGGGCCCATCGTACGCAATCGAGGCTCAGAGGATGTTGTATCGGAAGGTGCAGGCCGTGCAGGCACCGTGGCTTCAGCAGATCGCTGTTGCGTGCGACCTCGCCCCTCCGTGCTTGTAATCACTCGGGCTGGCGCTGGTCGCGTGATTGAAGGAGCCCACTTTTCATCGCGGGGCGCCTTCGCTGGCGGATTCGAGGCCGTTCGAAGCGACGGTCCAGGGAACTTGGGGTTGATCTGTTCCGCAGTGGTGGCAGATGTACCCCCAGGGGATGCAGCCCTCACTGATCCCGTATCCATCGCATAGGAGACCTGCACATCGGCTGCCTTCATGTTGATATCATCATCAGGATTGGCGTTCATCGCAATGAGGACAGCCGCAGCCTTCTTCCTGATGGCCGATAGCGTGCTTCGGGCGTGGTACATGCGAATGATTTCTTCGATCGCGGGTTTCTCCAAGTCTGGCTCGGGCACCCGCGTTTTGATTCGCAGAACCATGGGCAGCTTTAGTTTGTTAGAGTACTCTGCCCTCCCCGTTACACGCAAAGTCTCCCCTTCCGGGTGAGGCACGCTGAATCCGCTGAATCCTGTCTGCCGCTGCGACTTCCGAACCGGTGGATTCGAGGGCGGCGGCATATCGCGCGGCGAAGGCGGCGTCATCTCAAGAGCGACACCACCAAGGTGTTCTCGCCCGGGGCGCTTGGCCGCTTGCTTCGGGCGGATCACCCGATCTAGCTCACTGTCATCTTCATCGTCATCGTCCTCCGTTGGCACGGGAACATTGTGAGCTTCAGGTGTCGCGACCTCTCTCCGAGTAGAAGGTTGTACATGGCGCTGTGGCGCCTCTTCTCGCTGCCTTCTTCGTCGAGCTGCGACATCGAAGAGTTCATCCGGCTCATCCAGCTCATCCGGCAGAGCCTCGAAGACATCGGTTTTCATCGACATCTTCGTCGGATCGGTGCTCTTCACATCGGGGAGCTGATCCTTTACGCCATCGACAAGATCGAAGAACGTACTCTCGATAGTCTTATCGTCCTCGAGAATTTGCTTCGTCTTGGATCCATGATCTCGGACAAAGTCCTTGAAATCCTTTCGAGCCTGCTCAGGCGTATCAGGAGCATCGAGATGCTCGGTGTTGCCCTCATCGATAATCATGAATCGGGCATCGGTGTGGTGCGGAATTCTTTTCCGCCCCAAGGGATCCAGCTCACGCCAGTTGATAGCCTGGGCATCATCCCCTTTTCCTTTTCCTTTGGGATCCCCAGTTGCCTGAGCAGCACCCTGCTTCATCGTCGGAGATGTAACCAGGTTCTCCCTTAATAGGAATGCCGTAGCACGTTGTGAGGGTGACCTTGGCAAGGAGCGCTGAAAGACTTTCGCTATCAATCCGCATGTACCGTTGGTACTTCTGCGTGTCTGTGATCGTGGCGCGGAATTCATCGAGGGTGTCAAACTCGGTAGAGAGTCGGATGTGCCTCCTCATCTCCAAGTTGGCGTTCTGCAAAGGCAGGTGCGCCAGACGGAGTTTCTGAATCATGTCTCCGTCGATACAATAATCGACTCTCTCCCCTGTGTAGAAGGGAGAAAGATATCCGCGCTCCAGGCAGATGCGGTATGCGCGTTGGCAATGAATCGACCACCGTGCGTAGAAGCACAGTGGCTTTTCGCGACATGTCGCGAAGATCGCTCCGAAGTGCTTGACAATCGTGGTAGCGCACTGGATTGATCTCGATTCAAGGAAATCAAGCACACCGCTTCGGGCTTCCTTGCCAGTAATTCCGGCGACAAGCCTCTCGATGGAGATATCCAAGCGGATGGCGACTTGAATCGTGCCGCGCACACTCTTCTTGAACAACTCCACCTCCTTCGGCAACGTGTCAACCGCGACGCACTTAATCGGAGGCACGCCAAAGAATGCGGTCTGCCTGTGATCTTCAGAGAGAGCCCTGGACACCGGAAAGTTTCTCAGGTGCTTGATCGCAGGGTACTCATGGAGCTTGAACTCCGAGAGTGTGTTTCTCTCAATCAGATCGTTAAGCCATTGAGCGTGACTGCCGTAATAAGCTACCTGGAATGGGTTCACTGGATCGGCGTAGAACATCCCACCAGGGTAATGAACCGGCTTCGTGCACGCGTGGCACATGTGGAGCCCTACGGGAAACGCAGTCCCGCACATCGGGCAATCGAAGCTTGCGAGAGGCCACGTTTCTCGTTTGTGGTTTGCTCGCTCCGGGCCGGTGCCAAACTTCGGACCTCCAATGTACTTGAATGCCGTGTTGAACACCAAAGCACCCGAGTCCATGAAGTATGCAATCGGCATGCGCGCGAGAGGGATACTGTCCTTGATCGCATAATATCCTCTCGGGTGGAAGGACACCGGGTTGAGACCCGCGGCAATCATGTGCAGATCAATCGCAAACACAATCATGCGGTTGGATCCCATGCCCTCGGGAAGCATGGTATGCGACAACGCAGTATTCGATAGCGTCTCGCGCATCGGATTCATCCGGGCATTCATGTACACCTCCTCCCACTCATTGTTCTTCCCAGATCCGGGAGCATACGGGAGCAGGGTAAGGAACAGTTGTCCCTTCGGAGGCCCGACATGACAATCGCTCATGTACCCGAAGAACTCGCGAATCGTTGCGCAACCCCAGCCGTACTGGGGGTGGTGTCGGACCACGTTCCTCTTTCGCTCGCCGGCGACGTAGTGCTCGACTGCAAGCTGGAGAAACGGCCCGTGCTGAGACTTAGTCAGCCGTCGGAAACGGTTAAAGCTATCGGGGCCGAATCCGTATGCCGCGCGAACCCCGACGAACTGAGGACTTCCATCATCATTGATCACGGAATAGAAGAACTCAAACATTCGGTTGTTGTCCGTTCGGGCAATCTCCATGATGCATCGGAGAGTGAGCTCGGTTGGCTGATCGTTCTCGTCCAAGATGTTTGTCTGGAGAAGAATCCGGCCGCTGGTTTCGCCAGCGTTGGCCTTCATGTACTCTCTCTCACGCTCCATATACATCGGAATGATGCTGAACGCGATGATTCATCGATTCGATTCTGATGCCACTCTGCTCTCGTCACGCCCTCGGAGGCATTTCCGCTGTTGGCGGAGGCGGAGGATCCTCGGATGGCGGAGGAGGAGTGAGGCCGCTCGGTCTGACGCGTTCCCAGTCGGCTCCGTGGACGGTACATCGTTGTCCAACCCGCCATCACCCTGGCTACTCAGAGCGCCAGACACATCACTGCGGCGCGAGGAAGAGGCAGCGATTGATCGTGCGTGCCTCTGGAACTCACCCGCGAGAAACCCCGCAGTGTTCTGCAGCTGTATCGCGAAACTCCGCTGAATCCGGGAGAGTCGATCGTCCCCAGTTCAGCCGATGGAGCCGTAGCTCATATCGTTGGTGAGTCCCAGCGAGCTAGCTCTGCACAGGGTCTTCATCGGGCTTGCGGAACTGGGTCACGCGACGCTGCATCACGAAGCCTGGTGGCAGCTTGAGGTCTTCTCTCGTCAGCCTCGCTGCCGTGTTGTTCACCAACGCCACCCTCATGGACTGAATGACCTTTCCAGGGGTGGGCGCGATCAGATCCGGCCAGTCATCGGGCGTCGGAACCTCAAGGTCCTCTGGATTGAAAACCATTTGCTCGAAGGACATTGCTCCCATGCCACGATGTCGGATGGCAATCTACAACGACTGGTAGGTATTGAGAAGTGATCGTGCAATACCGTACGTCGCAGGAATGTGCGGATGGAACACCGGCAGGGTCGACATGCTCGCCAAAACAGCATCCAGGTTGGAAATGATCGCACCAACCCTGGCTTCGAGCTCCCCCCTGTTTCCATACTCCGGGGTCCATCGCGCATCAATCGCCGACACGGTCTCACCCGTATGTCGGTTGATGAGCACTGGCGTGAATCGATCGCTTGCCATCTCCCGGATGAGAGTGCTGTTGGACTCAACGCGACGTCGTCCCTGAGCCAATCGATTGGTGACCGCATCAAGCGCATAGTCACCCGGTGGGTACATGGCACCCTGAAACACATTGTCATCGTTTGTGTTCGGATCCATAACCTTCGCAAGCTGATTGGCTATGGTTCGCAGGTGCTCGGCGCTTTCGACACCGGTTGCACCCTTTGCCACCTCCGTGATATGCGCTTTCATCTGCGCGGCCTGCTCGCGACGAGCTTCGGCCTCGCTGACATGGCTAGCATGATGCGCATAGGCCTGGTGGCTTTCGGTCGTAGGCCCAGCAGGAGGTCGAGCGGCATCTCGATTGGACGCGACGATCCTTTCAGCATTGCGAGGGGTCGGCATTCGCTCGAACGCCTCTGTCATGCCCTCGAGGACGTCATCGAACTCAGCATCGGATTCCTGCTTTTCAGCGGCAGACATCGCTGCGTCATCGTCGCCTTGCTGTCCGTTATCGCCCGTCTCGCTGCTAGACTCATCATCATCGTTTGCAGTCGGGGCGGGGGCGGGCGACACAGGCATAGCCTGACCGGGGACAGGAGTCTCAGGCAGTGTAATCGGCTCCGGGTTCCGCACACCTGGAAGATCGGCAAGAGTCCTGGCTCCTGTTTGACAGTCTCCTTCTTTATCAGGATCTTGGGCGCGGCCGGATTGAGATCGTCGGCCATTTCTTCATCATCATCATCGTCATCGAACCCAAGCCGGCCAAGGTTGACGGTCTTCGCGGCTCCATGATCGGCATCGCGATCCAGCCCATCAATCAGGCCCTGGACCGTAGATGGAACGATGGACTTCACCCCACCCTTCGGATGGTCCGCCGGGACGGGAGTTCGCTCCCACATCTTTTGGGATGCAACCTCGTACTCTCGTTGGGTTTCATACTGCGGAAACCGGGCGAGGGAAGCAAGCGTGAACATCGAACACATGCGTGGCATAACGCACCGATCGTCTTGGATTCGTGCATGATGTGGTATCCCTTCAGGTACGGGAGCCCTTCCAGGATAGTGTCGAAGGACAGAGTGAGGAAGTTGGCCCTCCTGATCGTGTCCCAGATCGACCTCATCTCCACTCGGTACTTCTCGAAGAGGGGACCGGGGAGAGTCGGCAAATGTGCCATACTCGGAGACACTGGTCCGCACAGCGACACTGATCCGTAAGTCGTGTTGAGCTCTTCGAGTGCATCCCGAGCAGTCGTCTTGGCGTGTTGCGATCGAGCCAAGTCGATATCCCCCATGAGCTTGTTCCAGCTCTGGTCCAGCTTCCACATGTCCTCTCCTCTCCAGAGAAGGAGAATGTGGGTGTTGGCCTTCGGGATAGAGGTCTCCGTCTGCATCAGCGAGATGGTATCGATCATCTCCTTGAGCTTGAAACCCTCATCGAAACCCTGCACACGCACCTCTGGGTCCGGGAATCCGAACTTCATGAGTGCATTTATCATGTGTGCGTTCATGCCGCCGGCGTGCCAGGATTTGGCAGATTTGAACGTCAGCAATCCATCGTGCATGACGATGAATCTTTGCCTCTGGCTGGGAACCGCCGGTTTGTCGTTGGCGGGGCACCACCGTACGCAATCGTGGATGCCATAGTCGTGACCGTCCGAATGCCGTGAATCGACACTGCCACCAGGGCATCAGCGGGACTCCAGATGGGCATGGCAATGATGTCAGTGGTATTATCTTCATCGTAGATGATACCCTTGACACTTCTGGCAGGCGTATAGCCAAAATTGCCCAGTGCAGCACCAAAAGCCTGTCGGTAGTGCCTGCACCATACCTCCCATTCCTTGGACGGTCCGCCGGCAATCGTAACCAGCTTGGACGGCCTCGGCAGTCCCTGGCTTCCTTGCTCCCCAAAGATGGGAACACGCGTTTGAAAGAACGGGGCAAATTCGATGCGATAGCTCGATGCTTGAAGCTCCGACTGCGGGCTATATCTCCAGTGAACCGTCGACTGCTCGTTCATCCCGTGGCTCTCGGGCGCCCATCGGTTGCGTTTCAAACACAGCCGGGTGAACAGTAATTCGATCGGTCTGTTCATCATCGCCCGTCGTGGCCTGATCGGCGGGGCCAGCGGATGAGGATTGCGTGGCATCTGCATCCTCCCCAGCGGTGGTGGATCCACTGTTCTGGACAGTGAGATCGGCAAACTCAACAGAGTCTGACCCCACGACGTTCCCAAGCATCTTCAATGTGCGAGGATCAATCGGGCTCGCTTCCATCCATGGGTGCCATGCGACAGCCTTCGTTCCGTCATCGCTGAGGAATCGATGCCCATGAACGACGTATTGGGGAGACGTCGCGATTCGGTGCTCACGATCCTCCAATATCCGGAAGGGACGGAATGCAATTCCACACAGCTCGAGGAACTTGGTTCCGACACGGATCTGCTTCTGGGATCCTCCCAGCTTCTTCGTCGTTCGGTTGTGGCCATTGACCACGTGCCGGGAGACGCAGATCATCACCTGGAACCAGTAGCCTCCGCCGATATACGTGCCAGAGGCATAGCTGGAGGCAGCCTCGGCAGCGCTACCGGTGACCCACACGCATGGCTCATGATTCCCAGCTTACCAGGAAGCGCCCGCCGACTTTATACATGAAGTCGATTGCGGGATAAAGCCGTTGGCCCACATGAGGCCGATTAGCTTTTTGACTTGAAGATCGAAAAGTTTTTTGATGCATGAAAACCGACCGAAAGTTTTTAAAACATCAAGTTTGGCAATGCGATGTTTTGATCGCATATCGGGTCGATGAAAAAAAGCAAGCCCCCCGGAGCCATATCATGAGCATCGTTACGATTCATCTACGTTTCAATATTTGATGGGTTTGCAGTTTATACGTTTAAAGGTTGGTTCCGTATCGAACACACAAAATACATTCAGCAAGCATGCACATGTCGTTGACATATGTAGTATAGGTGTTACACATGGCGTGTATGCATGGTATAAAGCATGTGTATCATCTTGCGTTCGACCGTGCGTGTGTGTAAATGTATATATTTAAGTCGCATGCGCTGTGATCATGATTGCCGGGACCTTGCAAGCGCCGACTGAGTTGCCTCGCCAGCGATCTTGGTAGATCTCATTAAGTGTTTGATTATCGATAAGCGTGTGTCTGTATATACGGAAACATATATGTGAAAAGATCGGATATATAGGATTCAACTATAATGTTTGCCATGTGCAATATTGTATATATAGAGAAAACTTGAAACTCTGGATCCGCAATCTTAAGAAAATATTCCTGTACTTAAGCCATGGATCACCCTGCAATCTGCTGCAAGTCGGCAGTCGACGATGTGGCACATGCAGCAACTCAACCGCAAACGATCGGATCTTTTTAGGCCTCTCTCCGCCACTGAAGTCCCATTTGCACAGTATAGCGCAAAACAACGTTATGCGACATGTTGCGCACCGGAGCTTTGCATGCAAGGGCTTTTATGCGGCGTATCGCGTCTTCCCCTAAATAGTTGCTGAAGTATCTAGGGTTCCTAGGTCTGAAATCTAGGACTGCATGTTCCAATAGGTGGAGTTTAGGGCGAAAGTGGTACCTCGGAAGGCCTCTAGATATCGCACTCGCAGCAAGCTCGTTGAACCCAAACCGCAGCACCAGGTAAGCTTGCTCATACTGGTCGGCCGATGCTTGGTCGAAAAAGCGCCTTGGATGCTCTGTTAAATTCTCGTTTGCAATTGAGATACGTTTACACCCAGTGCTGATCGAGTGCCCATTGTGGATCATCAACATCTCCATGTCCCGAAAAGCTGCGGCCACGTCCCACAAGTGCCTGGGCGCATGCAAGCTCACATCTCGTGCAAGAATACAGGATAACCCAGTTAGCACTTGCATATATGTGTCAGGTTGCTTCAAGGTGGGAGGCAGTGCACTCATAGATTCGCACACCGTGGTCAAGAATGTGGCCGCCCAAAGTAGCATATATCTGCAAGCCGTTGCAGATAAGATCTTTTGAGAAACCTCAACAACTTTGTTGTTGCGCAGAACTGCTGTAGTGAACATACGTCTGCTGGCACGATCACCGACTTGAGAGGCTTCAGACCAGGATCGGTAGTCCTTCCAGATAAGATCCAATCGCTTTTCTCGTGATGAACCTTCCACGATCGTAGCATCATCGGTCACCTCCAGCAACATGCTGGCCAGAAAGTCAACAGCACAGGCCAAATGGACCATATGCATGTAGTCAGGGAGGATCCCTGAGGCATTCGAAGCTGGCACTAGAAATTAACTAAATGATTTCTTCGGACAACATGAAAACACAAATGATGCCAGCTGGGATTCTGCAGGGGCCAAATCCATCAATTCTTGTGAGTGGAGATTCGCCATGCACTTCGACGAAATCCTCGTTGGTCGTGATCAAAGTACTCCGGTGTTGGGCGTGGTGCCCGAAGCAAGAATAGAGCAGCTCCACGTTGTTAGGTTCACCCGGCTTGGCAGCAGCATTGACCCATTGGAGAGCAGAGCAGAGATGACATGTGAGCTTCTTGTTGTAGAAGCCTATGGCTGATCATATCGGAGGTAGAAGTTCGGATACCGACACAGGTTAATTAGCTTGTTGCAGACAAGAAACGATTCAGGCCCAGAGCCAGCTTGTGGTACTCCCAGTCGGCTTGAAACCCATCGAAAATGCACACGTAGGGGCCGCAAATCCGTTGGCCTGCCACTTTCGCCCTTTCGGGCATATATGTCGGCCCGAATTCCTTCCCGAATGCATCGCAGTGAGGGTACACACCCTTGCCTCAAGAATTTACAGGTGAAGAATTCACGACTGCCATCACCTTAGAAGATTCAGCCCAGCGGCTGAGGCAGTTGAAGCTCCACGCCACAACGGTAAGCAGTAGGTCCCGTGCAGGTTGGTTGCAGAAGGTGGCATTCATACATGATAGCCTGGACGTGATGCACCGGGTTTCGGGGTTTAGTTGCGACTCAATCCAAGGTTGTATGATTTGCTCATCGAGATGCAGAAATCGAGTATTCAATGTGGACGACTCAGATTCAGTCTTGGGGACGGTCACGAGTGTCAGAATTTCGAACTTCTGCCGTCCTTAGTACATGTTTGTGCGCTTCAGCAGGACATCGGTTTCATGAGGTGTATGCATGTTTCTGTCGAATTAATTGCTGGCTGAGTAGCGGTAGGCATCGGCACCATCGCCATACAATCGCAGTGGAACCACCAAATCGAGATCACAGCCGGGTTCCTGCGTGCAGACCACAAATAAAGCAATCCTCCGCGCCAAGCACAAGCTTCAGCCCAGGTGCATCCAAAGCCGGGTGCGTCTTCAGAAAATGGCTGGAGCTTGCTGCTGACAGCTCCTGTTCCCAATATGTTCGAAGAGCCTGAGCTGCATTTGCTGTTCAAGCCCCAGACCACAAAAGCTGTTGGTGCATGTTTCATTCCATCAAGTGGCTCCGGGGGGCCCTGTCAATAGCGAGAACAAATCCTCCCGCTCGTAGAATGATCCCACCACTTCGTGCGGGAGGTACATTGCATGTTTTATGAACTTCTGCAGTTTTCCGTGGGAGTCAATATATTCCTGAGAAGGCACGTTCTATTGAGGAACCAGCCGAGATTGTGTGCGTCCCAGTCGCCATTGGCACATCCAGCTCGAATTCTTGAGGCAAGGCTTGTCCTAGGCTCATGGGCATAACTAACTTTGATTTATGTATAGCACGGCTTTTTTGTTTATTGTGGCTTAATGAATTTGCTGGGTTTCTCCATTTTTGTTTCTTCAGCCATCTCCTCAGAACACGACTGGATCCCCATGATTTGTCTGATTCCAGAGCTTGGTAGAGCTCCTGCACATCATCCCTTAGATGTGTGAATATATCGGGAACATCGGAAAACAACCACATACAGATTCCAGTGAATGAGACGGGGAACGGAATCAGTGCCTGGGGCAGTTCCTGCAGCCGGCCTGCAGTTAACCAAGTGTTATCGAAGCTCGCAGCCAACAGCTTGCATGTGAATGGAGTGTTTGTGTGTTGCACTACAGCAAGTCCACGGCCTATAGCACTTCGGAATCTCTTCAGGTTGGCCTGCACTGATAGTTGAAATGTTGTGACCTATAGCCACAGGCTTGCAAGACTGCGTGCACGATGCCACCTCCCCAGACCCAAACATTTCCAAAGCATCCAAGATGGTTTGCTCCACATACTCGCGGATGCCCAGACCTGGATCTGATCGTGGCTTTTTGGAGTCCATGGCTGTCACTCTTCTGCATACCTGGAGCTTATTTGTGTTTTAAGGTTTAAGGGTTTGTGGGTTCAGGGTTTTCGTGGTTCAGGGTTTTGGGGGCGAGGCGGGTAAGGGCTTTAACAATATCAGGGTTCAAAGGCTTTCGGGGGATGTGTTTCATGTAATTGGTCTCCAGTTCACATTCGAGCATTGTCGCCGAGTGCAGCACATGTGCAAAGCTGGCTCTAGATCTGTTCCATATATGCGAGCACACTCACTTGGGAAGGCGACGGAACTTTTTCACTCTGTCCCCGAGCAGATGCATCTTTGTTGGACATTGAAAACACTGGCACAGCAGGTCGGATCGAACATAACAGAAAATCACGGCGTGCACAGATCGAGCTTTAAGCTAGACTCCTAGATTGGTCGCAGTGGATCATCTCAGAATCGCACATGTATATAGGCTATCCCCGACCCAGTGGCCGCGAACAGTGCCGATCTTGCGAGCGGCTCCCTACACGCACTGTATGCAGCTGTGCACACAGTATCGCAGAACTTCGAAGCCCATGTGTGATCTTGCAACCACTTCGGGTGCCACACGTCGGAATCGCCTGCCTTAGCAGCCTTCTCCCTCTTCCGCTTCTCCGAAGCCAGACCTGAGCACTTTCACAGCATGCTACACAAAGTACAGGCGAGACTCAAACAATATATATGTGCTTCGAAGACACGCCGATAGTGGCCCGCGACAACATCCTCCGCCTGCAGGACGGCCTTGTTGGCTGCCTGTGTGCTGGCTGGTGCAGGAACAGTACGATTGGACGACAGAGCCGCATTCTGCATTCGATATTTCAGAGGGTTAGAATAAATAATTCAGGCACATATATAGTATCGGGTTTTGGGGATCCAGCCTCGATTTCGGATTTTTTCTCGTCCAATTTCGCGTAGACAGTCTCATCGTTGTTGCCATTGAAGACATATTCGTTGATCCTGCATAAAGCACAAACCACTAGGTTGCATGCAGCACATGTCTGAAACTGTTTGGGGCGAGGTGCTCGCCATGAATCTTCATCGTCTGTGCATGCACCTCCTGCATGTGCTGGATGTTGGCCTGGAGCCGCCCACAAACAAAGAAGCCATCCATTGAAGTTCCCATATGATGTTCGGGCTTGTTGGTCTAGAGTCTAAAGTTATATCGTGGGTACAGATTGAGAATTAAGTAACTGTAAGAAATTCACGAGTTAAAGTGCTAGACAACTACATTCCCTGTGCAAGCACGAACCTTTACACACCAAAGGTTATCTTTATAGGAGCCAGTTAGCTTAAGATCCCGGCCTCTTGGCGTTCCATGCCCGACCGATTGAGGTTCTGGGCAACCAATCTGGCTTTGCCAGCTAGGGCAAGGAGCCTCGGCAGGCAGATCGATTCTCGGTTCCATGCGTGCCAGAAAGTTTATAAAGGAGGACATGCCAGCTAAGGGACTGGGTCATGGCTTTCTCGAAATCACGTTTCTTCACCTCCTCTTCCGTGAGAACCTGCGAAACAAGACGATATTGCACGAGCATTTGAGCTTTAACTCCCAGGCATGCAGAGCGCAGTGCTGTCCTTCGGTTCCTTGTTCGGTTTCGCCTTCTTGCTCTCCTCCGTGCCCTTCACATGGTCGGCACCTTGGGAGGTCAAGACCTCCGCGAGTTTTTTTCTCGTGGCCGTGTCCGCTTTGCCGATGCTCTTCTTGACTCTCGTCTTTGTGCCCACCTTGGTCACGTTGGCGCCTTGGATGTCGTGTCTCCTATGGTATCTCTCTCCCTCTCTCCCTCTCTCCCTCTCTCTCTCTCTCTCTGTCTGTCTCTGTCTGTCTCTCTCTCTCTCTCTCTCTCTCTCTCTCTCTCTCTCTCTCTCTCTCTCTCTCTCTCTCTCTCTCTCTCTCTCTCTGCCTCCTTCTCTCTCTCGTGGTTCTAATTCATCTCAGATGCTGATCTCTTTTCCGTGTTCGTAGATCTTATACAAGCGCCATGCAGCATTGCCTTTTGCTTGTGGGTGCTCGCGACCAGTCTGTTTGGCCAGGATATCATCACGAAGAAATCGTCGGCCTTCTTCTGTCTTGTTGTATTTCTCTTCTAGTTCGTGGAGCGGGAGCTCAATGTAATGACCTTCCTGGCGCTTCTCCGAGTACCTAAGATAAGTATTGAAAAAATGCAACCGGCCTTTTGAATGATGAACAATCAGTATAGTTGTGGCACTCTTTGTACTCCGCTTCGATGTGCATGGATGTCATGTTCTCGTCGAGCATAAACGCTTTCAAGAATTCAAACCTTGGGACGCTGCAGGGGTCAGAGAATCGACTGATCCATGTGTGATACCCAGAAGTTACTGAATACTACATAGAATATTTCGAGAGGCTTGCCGGTCGTAGAGGTGGTTGCTTCCCACTTCTCGAGCAAGCCGGCAGGAAGTCCTGCATAGCATATAGAGTATGTCTCTAGTGCAGTTTATAATTAAGGATTGGGGAGCAAATCGTTGAACTGTTTCTCTCCTTGAGGATGCGACATGCGCCGCTTCATGGCTTCACGCTGCCGACGGCGTTCCCCGGCATCCATTTCTTTCGGGTGCGTCATTGCCTGTGAACAAGATAGGGTTTCCTCACACATCGGCAGCTAGACAACACAATTGCACGCTCAGTCCTGGATCTGCTTTCTTTCTTCAGGGCTCAGGACTCTGACCTAGGGTCAAATCAGGTCACGGGAGTTGATATTCCAAACTATCGGTATGTGCCTGCACATAGCAAACAGCCGGGGTCGGTGCCCTCCTGATCTTGCCCTCATCACGTACCCCCAATGGGCCCGGGCTCATAGAGGAAGACGGCTCCGAACGGACACTGAGGCTCGACATGGCCCGCAGGATCGGCTTCCTGGCTCATGTCTGTTAACTGCTCCAGACTCACTAATTAACACAAACGCAAGCACGAGCAAATCATGTGCAGGCATGGGGCGGCTGGGGGCTGGAAGTTGTAGCAGGGTCGGCAGCATCCTGACCATCATCCGCATAGCCGGAAGTGGGGATACCTTCGTCATCGGTCTCGGCCTCCTCCTCGCACCCGTCACCCCACTCGTCCTCGTCACCCCACCCCTCCTCAAGGTCTTCACCTCCATCACCAGATCCTTCAGGATCATCATCATCCTCCACCAAGTCATCATCATCCTGATCGTTTTCCTCCTCCGGTTCCTCCACCTCTTCGTCGCAGTGTTCCTCACACTCCACTTCCTCCACCTGGACCTCCTCATACTCTTCGGCATCGGGGTCAATGGCACCTGCAAGCAGGGGATGGGCCGCTATGTGGCAGAGAGGGTGGTTTGGGGGGAGAGAGGGAAAGAAAGAACGATGTAGAAAGAGAGAGGAGAGAGATAGCGAGTGAGTGTGTCCGTGTGGGTGGGTGGGTGGGTGGGTGGGTGTGTGTGTGTGTGTGTGTGTGTGCAAGAAGGCAGGAAGAGGAGACAGGAAGAAGAGACATAAAAGACAGAGAGAGAGAGAGAGAGAGAGAGAGAGAGAGAGAGAGAGAGAGAGAGAGAGAGAGAGAGAGAGAGAGAGAGAGAGAGAGAGAGAGAGAGAGAGAGAGAGAGAGAGAGAGAGAGAGAGCGAGAGGGAGATGGAGAGGGAGAGGGAGAGGGAGAGGGAGAGGGAGAGGGAGAAGAGGGAGAGGGAGAGGGAGAGGGAGAGGGAGGAGAGAAGGAGAGAAGGAGAGGGAGGGGAGAGGAGGGCTCGAGGTACCTATAGTCGCAGAACCTGCCCCATACACACACACAACACACACACACACAACACACACACACACACACACACACACATTCAGTCCGCATAACAAATTGAAAGCATCATGGGCTCATTCTGCTGCTGCTGCTGCTGCTGCTTCTGCTGCTGCTGCTGCTGTGGGGTTGCTGCTTAGTTCTGGAACACTTCACACATGAGATGCTGCCGCCTCTCTCCCTCTGCACTCTCCCCTCTCTCACTGCTTCTGTCTCTCACCTCGCCTTTGCCACTTGACTTTGCGGATCCTGGCTTGCCTTTGCCTGCCATTCCCTGGCCACCTCCCTTGCCCTTCACGGTCTTGCCTTTGCCAGGGTTTGCCTGATCCTCTGCTCCAGCCTTGCCCTTCGCGACCTTGCCCTTGCCAGCAGGGTTTGCCTGATCCCCTGCTCCAGCCTTGCCCTTCGCGAGCTTGCCTTTGCCAGCAGGGTTTGTTTGATCCCCTTCTCCAGCCTTGCCCTTCGCGATCTTGCCTTTGCCAGCAGGGATTGCCTGATCATCTGCTCCTGCAGCCTTGCCCTTTACGGTCTTGCCTTTGCCAGCAGGGTTTGCCTGCTCATCTGCTCCAGCCTTGCCCTTCACGGTCTTGCCTTTGCCAGGGTTTGCCTGCTCATCTGCTCCAGCCTTGCCCTTCACGGTCTTGCCTTTGCCGCCAGGGTTTGCCTGATCATCTGCTCCACCCTTGCCCTTCACGGTCTTGCCTTTGCCGCCAGGGTTTGCCTGATCTGCTCCACCCTTGCCCTTCACGGTCTTGCCCTTGCCAGGGTTAGCCTGATCCCCTGCTCCAGCCTTGCCCTTCGCGATCTTGCCCTTGCCAGGGTTTGCCTCATCATCTGGTCCAGCCTTGCCCTTCGCGATCTTGCCCTTGCCAGGGTGTGCCTGATCAGTCTTGCCCTTCACGGTCTTGCCTTTGCCAGGGTTTGCCTCATCATCTGGTCCAGCCTTGCCCTTGGCGATCTTGCCCTTGCCAGGGTTTGCCTGATCCCCTGCTCCAGCCTTGCCCTTCGCGATCTTGCCTTTGCCAGGGTTTGTGTGATCATCTGCTCCAGCAGCCTTGCCCTTCGCGAGGCTGCCCTTGCCAGGGTTTGCCTGCCCCCCTGATCCAGCCTTGCCCTTCGCGAGCTCGCCTTTGGTAGCTTTGCCTTTGGCGGTGGCGGGCCCCGATCCTTTAGATCCGCCTACCATAGCACCATCACCAGCTCCCGAAGTGGCCGTCGTACTGGCCAAGGACTCGCGGGAGGCACGCTTGTCCGAGTACGTAGACTCGGAAAAAAACTTGGCCATGCTCTGCGGATTGAGATTCCGCAGCTCCACCTTCGGAGGCATGGCCGGGCTCGCTCGCCAAGCTCGCTTCACCACCGGGCTCGGGAGGAAAACCCAAAAGCACGAAAAGGCACGCTGGGATGCCCCAGATAAGGCCGTTGACACGCAAAGGCACGCAAAAGCACGCACCAAAAGTTTCAGAAAATTTTCGAAAAGTTCCCGGCCCCGCCCGTCGCATGCCTTTGCATGCCTTTCCATGCCTTTGGGTGTCGTGTGGCATGCCCTATAACCCCTGGTGAGGTCGGTGCATGCGCCCCACACACACATACATACATTGCATGCACACACACACACATCACATATATGTAGGTAGATATGTCTGTATGAATATAGCTACGTAAATAGCTACGTACTAACTAGTCCCTTCATTCTGGCTCTCCCTCGATCTCCTCCCTACTTCGATTGATCCTTGCACTCCTCCCGGCCATAGCTCCCTTCCTTATTCGCCCCAGCTCTCTTTGTAGCCTCTCTCTCTCTCTCTCTCTCTCTCTCTCTCTCTCTCTCTCTCTCTCGTTTCGTGTTTCTGTCTGTGCGCTCTCTCTGTCTGGCAAACGACATATGACTGCTGCAAGTGCCGGCACAGCAAACTTTCATTCTCAGGCCGCCGGCCCACGCTTGAAATCTGCTATAAGCTGCACAGCTGCACTAGCTGCACACTCATGAGATGGCTGCCATGGATCTTGTAACATATTACAACATGTGTGCAGCCAGCCAGCAGCACGAAGCCTCACACAACGTCCTCCAAGCCACTGTCCGAAGAGCAATCTGAGGTATCCTGGAATACAAGATCATCATCGGCACGGATTCTCGGCTGAAGCTTCTGCGACTCCAAGATCTGGGCCACCTGGAAAGCACGGGATGCTATGTATATCAGCCAGCTTTTTGCTCGATCTTAATGGGACGATATAGACTTCGAAGATCATTCGCATTAATGGGCTAGCTAGCCATTACTACACATAACTGATGGACCATAGGTTGTCGGGTTGCTTGGCTTCACCTAATTTGTTAGATCACTTAGTTGCACTGCATGGAGACCATCTATATTTATGGACATCTATATTTATGGACTTAAGTCCATAGATATAGATGGTCTCCATGCAGTGCAACTAAGTGATCTAACAAGAGAAACCTACGGCCAAGCAGCTTATATGGTCAAACCAGAAGCAACATTTATCGCCGATCCTCCAAGTTCCTATGTCGTCGTTGGTTATATATACTTAAATGCATCATCTTAAATATTGGGTGGAGGTGATGGGCACCAAGAGGGGTTCGATGCATATCTTATCAGTCAAATTGTAGACTGAAGCGAACGACGTCATGGAGTATATGTATAGACTACATCCGAATAACTAATTAGTTTAGACCCCACCCAAGAAGTCGGAGCCTCGAAGCCGAAGCCAGCAGGATAGGATTTTGAAGCTTCCAGATCTCGACCCCCGGCCTGTGCCGAGTGAATGCGTGGTGCATGGGCAGACGAGCAACAGCGATTGTGCAGCATCTTGACTGCGATATTGGGGTCCCAGCACATCGGGACTGTCCCTTGGCATTTCTCCAACGGATGGTGGTCTGGATCTTGAGAAAGCTTCGAACTCGTCGGAGATGGCTCCTGTCATGGATCAGGCTTGTTGTACGTTTGATATACTACCGTAGAAGCAAAACTCCTTGTGATCTATCAAGACGGCCGAGTGTGCTGTGCAGTTGGAGGTCACTGTCCGGCCTGCGCTCTTTATTCAGGGTTCTGCGAAGAGCTCGAAGACCTGCCCAGTTTCCAACCAACGTCACCTGAGAGAGATCACACATTGCTCTGATGTCGTGGGGTCACGAGCTACTCATTAACAAAGTATATTCGACTTGAGGATATTTGCAGTCCTGGGCCCGGGGCGGCCTTCGGAGTTGCTGACCCATAACACCCCAGGTGTACGGTGACTTTCATGAACTTCATCTTCAGCAGCAGCTTCTCAGTTGCAGACAGACTCACACCCAACATCAAGCATAGCTGATAGCGATGTTGCTAAATGTTGGCCGAAGTTCCCGGAGCGGCGAGTATTGCCAAAGCAATGTTGAACTGGGGTTCTCGATGACAAAGTTCACCCCTTTGGCGTATGCATATTGCAGCCTTAGAAGTGGTCTCTGGCAAAAGTAATCGGCTTCGGATGATTGTATGATGCTTCCAAGCAGCAAGTAACACATTCGGCGGCAGATCCTGTTACCAGTAGCACATCGGCTTCCCAGTCCTGCAGACATCACTCATGCATGCACACAAAGGTCCGGCCGGCTCAGATCGATGAAGCATTTGCGGGTCCTTGCGGGCGCAGAAAGGATCGTTTGGATGAGCCACGGGACCTTGGCACCACTCAATTCTGTGTACGATGTGTGTGCGTGTGGGCTAGCATTCTAGCATTTATTCTATTGCACCACGAAGTGTCGCAAATGCGTGTCCATGCAGTGATACAAGCACAAGCCGGGTTCATGCTGTATAATTACGCAGCTACACGCAATCTGTCATCGGTCGCTGTAGGCGAAGGTTTCGAGTGGCAAGTAAATCAACCCCAATTACAAACCCCACAAGAGACCGGCATGCCTACGCGAATGTGCGACATGCAAACGGCGTCATGCAAGCAGCCAGCGGGTTAATTAACGGCGGCCATGCAATCATATGCGCCACGAAATGTCGCAAATGCGTGTCGCAGAGAATCGTGAGTACCATGCCACTGACACATGCAAGTAAGCACAAGCCGGCTGAAGCCGTCGTATTCGTCCCTCCC